GTTGGCGGGCGCCTGTAATCCCTGCTACTCTGGAGGCTGAGGCAGGAGAATCACTTGAACCCAGGAGGCAGAGGTTTCAGTGAGCTGAGATCGTGCCACTGTACTCCAGCCTGGTGACAGAGCGAGACTTTCTCTCAAAAAAAAGAAAAAAAGAAAAGAAAAGAAAAAGAAAAAGAAAGAGTATTCCTTATCCTACTACACCTTAAAATGTACTTCCTGGTCTGCAGTGGTGGCTCATTTCTGCAAGCCCAGCACAATGTATTTCCTGATTACAAAAGTGGTACATACTCATCGCTTTTTTAAAAAAAGGAAAGTGCAGAGAAATGTAGAGCAGAAACAAAAATCACTCCAATTCCCACAATTCAGAGTAATCTGTTAGCATCTATAGTTTTAAAAATGTAGTTCAGATTATACCGTACGATGTTCATAAGCTTTTCTCCACGTCATAAAAAATATTTGAAACTTCAATTAAAATGTTTGTGTTAGGATTGGATGAGGTGGCTCATGCCTGTAATCTCGGTATGTTGGGAGACTAATGAGGGAGGACTACTTGAGGCCCTGAGTTCAAGACCAGCCTGGGAAACATAGCAAGACTCTATTGGTATAAAAAAAAAATTAGTAAGGCGTGGTGGTGTGTACCTGCAGTCCCAGCTACTTGGGAGGCCGAGGAGGGAAGATAACTTGAGCCCAGGAGTTCAAGGTTGCAGTGAGCTACGATTACATCACTGCACTCCAGTGTGGGCAACAGAGCAGGACCTTGACTCAAATAAATAAATAAATAAATAAATATCTGTATTAGATACCATTTTATAGATGGACAATTTTTGGATATTGGAGCTATTTTCTGTTTCCATTAGTTGTTGTGATGAGGATGCTTGTAAATAAATCTTCACCACTCCCACCCCCATAACCTATTCTTCCTTAGTCCAGATTTGCAGAAATGGCATTTTTTGATCAAAGGGTCTGATTTTTTCTTTTACTTTTCTTTCTTTCTTTCTTTTTTTTTTTTTTTGCTATGGAGTCTCACTATGTCGCCCAAACTGAAGTGCAGTGCCTCGATCTTGGCTCACTGTAACCTCTGCCTCCTGGGTTTGAGGGATTCTCCTGCCTCAGCTTCCCAGTAGCTGGGACTACAGGCGAATGCCACCACACCCAGCTAATTATTGTACTGTTAGTAGAGACAAAGTTTTGTCATGTTGGCCAGGCTGGTCTTGAACTCCTGACCTCCGGTGATCCGCCTGCCTCAGCCTCTCAAAGTGCTGGGATTACAGGCATAGACCACTGCACTCGGCGGATCTGAATATTTTCAGACAGGATCTTACTCTATCACCCAGGCTGGAGTGCAGTGGTGCAATCTCGGCTCACTGCAGCCTCAACCTCCTGGGCCCATGTGATCCTCTCACTTCAGCCTCCCAGGTAGCTAGGCCTATAGGTGCATGCTCTCACATACAGCTAGTTTTTATGCTTTTAGTAGAGATGAGGTTTCACCATGTTTCCCAGATTGGTCTCAAACTCGGGCTGAAGTGATCTGTCTGTGTTAGCCTCCCAAAGTGTTAGGATTACAGGTGTGACCCACCACACCTAGCTGGGTCTGAGTATTTTTTTTTTAGATTTTAATTTTATTCATTTATTTTTGAGACTGGGTTTTGTTCTGTCGCCCAGGCTGGAGTGCTGTGCCATGATCTCGGCTCACTGCAACCTCTGCCTCCTGGGTTCAAGTGATTCTCCTGCCTCAGCCTCCTGAGTAGCTGGGATTACAGGTGTGCACCACCATGAGCAGCTAATTTTTAAATATTTTTAGTAGAGATGGGGTTTCACCATGTTGGCCAGGCTGGTCTCCAACTCTTGGCCTCAAGCAATCCACCACCGTTGCCTCCCAAAGTGCTGGGATTACAGGCATGAGCTGCTGCCCCAAGCCTAGTATTTTTTTTATTTTTTGGAGATAGAGTCTCACTGTATCACCCAGGCTGGAGTGCAGTGGGGAGGCCTCGGCTCTCTACCTTTGTCTCCAGGTTTAAGCGATTCTCCCGTCTCAGCCTCTGGAGTAGTTGGGATTTCTGGCACCACCACGAAGCCCAGCTCATTTTTTTTTTTTTTTTTTTTTTTTTTTTTCCTGAGTCTTGCTCTACCACCCTCAGCTGGAGTGCAACGGCAAGATCTTGGCTCACTGCAACCTCCGCCTCTGGGGTTCAAGCAATTCTCCTGCCTCAGCCTCCTGAGTACCTGGGATTACAGGTGTCTGTCACCACACTCAGCTAATTTTTTTATTTTTAGTAGAGACAGGATTTCACCATGTTGGCTAAGCTGGTCTCAAACTCCTGACCTCATGATCCACTTGTCTCAACCTCCCAAAGTGCTGGGATTACAGGTGTGAGCCACCTCGCCCAGCCAATTTTTTTGTATTTTTAGTAGAGACAGGGTTTCACCATATTGCCCAGGCTTATCTTGAAATCCTGACCTCAGATGATTCACCCATCTCAGCCTCCCAAAGTGCTAGGATTATAGCATGAGCCACCCATCCAGCCGGGACTGTTTTACCCCTTAGATATACCCATCCTGCTATGATTGTGAGGCAGCCTGTGGCCCTTGATCTCAGGGTGCCCATCCCTCCTACTGGTGATAAGGAGTCAGCTCCAGCCCCGCCTGTTTGCTTTAGGCCATCTCTTTGCCCTAGTCCCGGAGCAAATCTGGGTATTACTCATCTTTGAAGCAGGGTGTGGAAGCAGGTGGGGACAGTGTAAGAAGCCATGGGGTGGAGGTGGGTGACTCAGGCCCAGCTCTGCCAAAGCCAGCCAGCACCAGCTCGGCGAGTTTTACCAGCCAGCCTCCATCTATTCACCTGTGAAGGAGGATTCTGGCAACCCCTGGAAGGCATGAGACCAGGGATTTACAAACACTGCCATGTCAGTGTCTGTGGCAGGTCACAAGCGTTAAATAGGTCAAGTCAAGCAGTCATGGGGCTTGATGAAAACACACAATGAGGAAAAAAATCATTTTCCCTTAGGGTGGCTCTTTGGCTTAATATCTGGGTCAGGCTGGGGGATTTCAGCATGTCTAGAGGATTTTTTCTTTTTCTTTTTTTCTGAGACAGTGTTTCACTCTGTCGCCCTAGCTGGAGTGCAGTGGTGCAATCTTAGCTCACTGCAACCTTGGCTTCCCAGATTAAAGTGATTCTCCTGCCTCAGCCTCCCAAGTAGCTGGGACTACAAGTGCACGACACCACAGCCAGCTAATTTTTTGAATTTTTAGTAGAGATGGGGTTTCACTGCATCAGCCAGGATGGTCTTGATCTCCTGATCTCGTGATCCATCCACCTCAGCCTCCCATAGTGCTGGAATTACAGGCATGAGCCACTGTACCCGTTTTTTTTTTTTTTTTTTGAGATGGAGTCTTGCTCTGTCACCCAGATGAAGTGCAGTAGCGTGATCTTGGCTCACTGCAACCTTTGCCTCCCAGGTTCAAGTGATTCTCCTGCTTCAGTGTTCCAAGTAGCTGGGACTACAGGTGTGTGCCACCACACCTGGCTAATTTTTCTATTTTCAGTAAAGACAGGGTTTCACCATGTTGGCTAGGCTGGTCTCGAACTCCTGATGTCAAACGATCCATCTGCCTCGACCTCCCAAAATGCTGGGATTAAAGGTGTGAACCATACTTGATCTATGACTAGAAGATTCTATCCATCAATGCAGTTTTTTTCTGTGTATTTTCTAGAAAATCGTTTTTTCTCTACATATAGGTTTTATCTGTATAAAAATCTTTATTTTTATTTCAAGTAATTTCTTCAAACTTCCAGATGCAAAGTTTGAATAAAATCTTCACTCAAAGATACAAAGGGTTAATGAATGGTTTGCGGAGTCACAAGAGAATATTTTGGATGCAGGCCTATTTCTGCAAGGCCAGTCTTCCTAGATGACATCTCACACCTGCTGTGTTCACACTGGAAGGAAATAAAAGGCTATAGTTCACCTCATTCCATATTTACAATTATAGCACTTGGTGTAATTATACCTGCTGTTTTATACATCAGGATAGGACAATAAAGATTATACAGTGTGAGGTCAATTTACAAAATATTTCCTTAAACAAAAGGACTATCCTGGAATTTATTTTACAGATGAAATTTTTTTTTTTGGAGACTGACTTCCACAGTCACCCAGGCTGGAGTGCTGTGGTGCAGTCTCGTGCCCTGTAACCTCCACCTCCTGGGTTTAGGCGATTTCCAATTCTAAGCAGCTGGGATTACAGGTGTGTACCACCATACCCGGTTAATTTTTGTATTTTTAGCAGAGGCATGGCTTCATCATGTTGGCCAAACTGGTCTCTAAGTCCTGGCCTCTAGTGATCTGTCGGCCTGACCCTCCCAAAGTGCTGGGATTACAGGCATGAGCCACGGCCACAATTTTAAATAGCATGGAGGCCACTCAGTCTAATAGGAACTGCCTTCCATGCACTGTCTGACATCCCTCTCAATCTCTCCATTCAGAGAAAGGGATCCAGACCTTCAATGACTTCCATAAAGCAAAACAAAAACAAGCCCAGTGACTAAGTCTAATCATCATTCTAGGCTCAAACTGAATGCTCTGAGAGGTTTTTACTGTGAAACCTAGCGACTCTTCAATAAGACAGGATTGTTGACTGAATTTTGGGTTTTCTTCAGTTTTTTTTTTTTTTTTTTTTTGAGACGGAGTTTTGCTCTTGTTACCCAGGCTGGAGTGCAATGGCGCGATCTCGGCTCACCGCAACCTCCGCCTCCTGGGTTCAGGCAATTCTCCTGCCTCAGCCTCCTGAGTAGCTGGGATTACAGGCACACGCCACCATGCCCAGCTAATTTTTTGTATTTTTAGTAGAGACGGGGTTTCACCATGTTGACCAGGCTGGTCTCGATCTCTTGACCTCGTGATCCACCCGCCTCGGCCTCCCAAAGTGCTGGGATTACAGGCTTGAGCCACCGCGCCCGGCTTTTTTTTTTTTTTTTTTTTTGAGCTTTGTATCATATAGTGTTTTTTTTTTTTCTTCTGTATTTTTTATGTGCAACTCTCTATGCCTATGACAGAATCTTATCCTTGTTTTCCTAAACTTGACTTAGAGGACAGGCCAGGACCCCACAAGCCTGGTCTTGGGCTCTGAGATCCGGGATCCTCTGTCAGTCACTGACATTGGGGAGGGGACTGATGTGGCACCCGTCTGATGTCACCCACACCACATCCACTGAGGACCCTGAGTCTTGCCAGCCGTTGGGGACTGAACCTCCCAGTCCCTGTGAGGAAGGTGGCCGGGTGGGCAGGGCTGTTGCTGTGTCAGCCACACAGACAGTCCTCCCTGCAAGGATGTCAGTCCCTGATGACACTACCCACAGGCCGAGGGGGAGGACATGGTTGGAGCGTTTGACATACAAAGCAGCACCTTGTTTTACTGGGGGTAGAAAATAGGAATTCCGCTCCCTGCCTCACCCCGCTTAAGCATCAAAGCTCAGACATCGGTGGAACTTGAAGAGTCTGAGACTGGGCAGTGCCAGTCACAACACCTGGGTTTCCAGACGCCGGACTTCCTTGACCACAAGGTCAATGTTAATAATTGGGTTAAAGTACAGGGCCCAGTAAAACAAACAGTTGCAAACAAACTGAGGGATGAGGGGCCAAAACATGGCCACGAAAAGCCCCTGCGTTGATACTTTCCAGAAATGGCTCCACATCCTCTGAGGCACAGTCCTGAAACAAGAAGAGAAGCAGTTCAGAGGCTGAACTGGAGGCGCGTCTCATGACCACACCCAGGAGTCCGGGCCCTGGGCCTTTTCTCGGTGCTCTCAAGTGGCTGCCCGTGCTGAATGGCCTTGTCTTCTGTCCCCGGTGCCTGAGGCCTCTGCCTACTCAACCTATCTTCAATTCCCAGGACGTGACCGAGAGGGAGCTTCTTGGTCCCTACACTGGACGAGGCCTCCCTGTGACAGCCTCAACTTCACCTGCTTCATCACTTTGTTACACTTACATCTATTTTTATTTCTTTTGTGACAGGGTCTCATTCCTTTGCTCAGGCCGGAGTGCAGTGATGCAAATGTGCCAACTGCAGCCTCGACCTCCAGGTCTCAAGTGATTCTCCTGAGTCGCTGGGATCACAGACACCCATCACCATACCTGGCTTTTTTTTTTTTTTTTTGAGACGGAGTTTCGCTCTTGTTACCCAGGCTGGAGTGCAATGGCGCGATCTCGGCTCACCGCAACCTCCGCCTCCTGGGTTCAGGCAATTCTCCTGCCTCAGCCTCCTGAGTAGCTGGGACTACAGGTGCGTGCCACCAGCTAATTTTTGTATTTTTAGTAGAGATGAGGTTTCGCTATGTTGGCCAGGATGGTCTCGATCTTGTGATCTAATGATCCGCCCGTCTCGGCCTCCCAGTGCTAGAATCACAGGCGTGAGTCACTGACTGTGCCCAGCCTCTGGCCATCTATTTTTTAACATACATATTTTCTCTGCTAGGCTGTAGGCCTTCACAGTATAGACTGTCTTCTTTACCAAAAGAGCTGCCATGCCCGGCAGAGAACCAGGAGTACAGCAGGGGCATAAATATGCATATTGTATATAAATAGGTGAGTTTGCTCAATGGAAAGAAATGAAGGAGATTCTTTTTTTATTTTTACCTAGTGAGTCACCACTTGAAAGGTTAAGGGAGATTGCTGGGTTCTCAGAACCATTCATAAGACTTCAAGTCACAGAATGTCAAGATGGAAGGCTGCAAGGGTGGCAGTGTTACTTCTGCCTGTCCAGCTACTATCCTTTTCTTCTGGAAGCAGCGTCTAAGTTTTTTTTTTTTTTTTTGAGATAGAGTCTCACTTTGTTGCCCAGGCTGGAGTACAATGGTGGGATCTTGGCTCACTGCAACCTCTGCCTCCCGAGTTCAAGCGATTCTCCTGCTGCAGCCACCCAGGTAATGGGATTACAGGTGCCCACCATCACACCTGACTAATTTCTGCATTTTTGGTAGAGATGAGGTTTCACCATGTTGGCCAGGCTGGTTTCAAACTCCTGACCTCAGATGATCCACCCACCTCGGACTCCCAAAGTGCTGGGATGACAAGTGTGAGCCACCATGTCTGGCAACAGCTTCTAAGTTTTTTGTGATTCTCTCTCCTTTGTTCTTTTTCATGTGGTCTGAGGCCAGCCTCTGGTTGTAGGGTGAGCCCATGCCCAAGGCCTGGGGTAGCACCACAGGATTGGGGTGACAGATTGTAGTGGGCATGTGACCCAGGTTTGGGTCCATCAGAACAAAGGAACGTGAGCCCTGAGACCTCTTCGAGTGCCACGGGTAAGGAAGTGCTTTCTTTTTTTTTTTGAGACGGAGTTTCGCTCTTGTTACCCAGGCTGGAGTGCAATGGCGCGATCTCGGCTCACCGCAACCTCCGCCTCCTGGGCTCAGGCAATTCTCCTGCCTCAGCCTCCTGAGTAGCTGGGATTACAGGCACGTGCCACCATGCCCAGCTAATTTTTTGCACTTTTAGTAGAGACAGGGTTTCACCATGTTGACCAGGATGGTCTCGATCTCTCGACCTCGTGATCCACCCGCCTCGGCCTCCCAAAGTGCTGGGATTACAGGCTTGAGCCACCGCGCCTGGCCTAGGAAGTGCTTTCTTTCTGGAGGTTTGCTAAGCTGCACGGATCAAAACCTGGAGTGGAGTAGCCAAGGGCCCCCACATAAAGAGAGCTGCCTGAAGCAGAAAACACAAGAACAGTGCTGTGAGGGACAGAGAAAGAGTCAGTCCTGGTGACAGCGTTTGGGTCTCAGTGTCCAGCCACGCTTGAAGCCTAAGTTACTATTGTCCTAGTTGGTGGCAGATCAGGATTAGAACTCATGCCTACAGAAATCCCTATGAGATCTCTATATATTCTACCATACTGCCATTTTTTATAAAGCACCCTGTAGAGACCAAAGCCACTCCATATTGGATGCTAATGGGGCATGGTGGCATGGTGACTTCGCATTAACTCTGGTTTTGGGGAAGCCTCTAAGATCTCTGGTTTATCTATTGTTTCTTGTGTAAGAGCACATACTTCACGTAAATCCTGGCCTTAGGTTAAACAGACTTGATGTTCTCTTGATGTTCTTTACATAAATCTTGGCCCTAAACAATTGTTCTGCACATCCCTTCTGAAGCATGTATGCCCTTTCCCTATGTATATAAGCCCCGGGTCTGGTTATCCACCATCTTGTCTCACTACCACCCAAGACAAAGACAGGGCTTCTGTTTGCAAGGCCTTATTAAATGTTTCTTTCTGAGAAACTGATTTGTCAGCTTCTTTCTTCAGCTTCTCGGCTTCCTGATTTAGGGGGTAGGTTAGCACAGGGTTGCCTACCTTAGAACAGAACCTTTTCTACTCATTTGCTTATTCCTTGATTATTAAAATCCTTTGAACCCCTCCCCCTGAAATTATATGGTATGTTATTGCACAGAGGTACGACATACAGAAAAATACTTTTAACAATGAGCACCACAACTCCCACCCCCAAAACACAAGGCAATTGTGCTATTCACTACTGAAACTGGGTTTCTCAACCCAGTAGGAGGGGTCTGGATGGATGGAGGTTTATTTCAAGTTTGAGAAATGCTTCAAAGAGGATCTTTCCTTCACTTAGTATTTCTTTCCTATCCCCTGGTATGACAACAGTTAAAATATACTTACTTCAGTTCACTTCTTGACCAGATTCTCCAAAAGGAGAATAATTCCAGAACTGAGAGTAACATAGCATTGATGATGAGAAACCGTGATGTCCAGTAATGGACCTCCAGCCAGTCCCAAGCAAACTCGGCAATCAGCTGGTATGGAAGGAAGGAGTATTTGACAAGGAACTCTCTCCACTGCTTCCACGTAGGCTCCTTAAGATCCTTGAAAAATACCACAACAGATGCAAAAAGTCACAAGGACTGACTTTTACACAAAATATTGCAATGGTCAGGCTGGGCACAGTGGTTCACACCTGTAATCCCAGTACTTTCGGAGGCCTAGGTAGGTGGATCACCTGAGGTCAGGAGTTCAAGACCAGTCTGGCCAACAAGGTGAAACCTCGTCTCTACCAAAAACACAAAAATTAGCCACGCATGGTGGTAGGTGCCTGTAATCCTAGCTACTTTGGAGGCTGAAGCAGGAGAACAGCTTGAACCTGGGATGTGGAGGTTGCAGTGAGTTGAAATCACACCACTGCACTCTACCCTGGGTGATAGAGGGAGACTCTGTCTTAAAAAAAAAAAAAAAGTTGTGATAATCACAGTGAGTTCTCCATTGATTAAAACACACACACATGGCTGCGCATGGTGGCTCATGCCTAAAATCCCAGCACTTTGGGAGACCAAGGTGAGTAGATCACCTGAGGTCAGGAGTTTGAGACCAGCCTGGCCAACATGGTGAAATCCCATCTCTACTAATAATACCTAAAAAATTAGCTGGGCCTCATGGCACATGCCTGTAACCTCAGCTTCTTGGGAGGCTGAGGCAGGAGAATGGCTTGAACCTGGGAGGCAGACGTTGCAGTGAACCGAGGTCTTACCATTGCATTCCAACCTGGGTGACAAGAGTGAAACTCCATCTCCAAACAAACAAACATACACATACATCCAACAATCTAAAATGAAATTTCCATCCAGCAACTCATCTTATAATAATTAATCTTTTTTTTTTTTTTTTTTTTAGATAGAGTCTTGCTCTGTTGTCCAGACTGGAGTGCAGAGGTACTATCTTGGTGCACTGCAATCTCCACCTCCCGGGTTCAAGTGATTCTCTTGTCTCAGCTTCCTGAGTAGCTGGGATTAAAGGCGTGCATCAACACACCCACCTGGCTAATTTTTGTATTTTAGTAGAGAAAAGGTTTCATCATGTTGGCCAGGCTGGTCTCTAACTCCTGACCTCAGGTGATCTGTCCACTTCTGCTTCCCAAAGTGCTGGGATTACAGGCACAAGGCACTGTGCCCAGCTGTAATTAATCTTTTTTTTTTTTTCTTTTGAGACGGAGTTTTGCTCTTGTTACCCAGGCTGGAGTGCAATGGCGCGATCTCGGCTCACCGCAACCTCCGCCTCCTGGGTTCAGGCAATTCTCCTGCCTCAGCCTCTTGAGTAGCTCGGATTACAGGCATGTGCCACCATGCCCAGCTAATTTTTTGTATTTTTAGTAGAGACGGGGTTTCACCATATTGACCAGGATGGTCTCGATCTCTTGACCTCGTGATCCACCCGCCTCGGCCTCCCAAAGTGCTGGGATTACAGGCTTGAGCCACCGCGCCCGGCTTGTAATTAATCTTAAATTAAGTAAATGTTAGCAAAAACATTTAAATGAAATGATTGTCACATAATTGTGGAAGCTCAGAAGTAAAAAATCTAAGTATGAATTATGAATAAACTGAAATAAATTTAAATTAACCAGTGTTTTACTCTCCAATCACTGCATAGGTAGCTTGACCCATTTCCTAAATTCAACACCAGCTATAGTAGAATAAAGGTAGTTTGTGGGAAAATTACAAACATTCCCTCCTCCCTCCAAAGTAATTTTTTTGTGGTGGTGGGAGGAGAAGATTTTTTTTTTTTTTTTTTTTTTTTTGAGACGGAGTTTCGCTCTTGTTACCCAGGCTGGAGTGCAATGGCGCGATCTCGGCTCACTGCAACCTCCGCCTCCTGGGTTCAGGCAATTCTCCTGCCTCAGCCTCCTGAGTAGCTGGGATTACAGGCACGCACCACCATGCCCAGCTATTTTTTTTTTGTACTTTTAGTAGAGACGGGGTTTCACCATGTTGACCAGGATGGTCTCGATCTCTTGACCTTGTGATCCACCCGCCTCAGCCTCCCAAAGTGCTGGGATTACAGGCTTGAGCCACCGCGCCCGGCGGAGGAGAAGATTTTTAACTACAAACATTCACAGATAAAAAATTAGCCTGATGAGGCTGAGTGCAGTGGCTCACGCCTATAATCCTAGCACCTTGCGAGGCCGAGGGGGGTGCAGATCACTAGGTCAGGAGTTCGAGACCAGCCTGGTGAAATCCCATCTCTACTAAAAATACAAAAATTAGCCGGGCGTGGAGGCGTGTGCCTGTAATTCCAGCTACTTGGGAGGCTAAGGCAGGAGAATTGCTTGAAGCCGGGAGGCAGAGGTTGTGATGAGCCAAGATCATGCCATTGCACTCCAGCCTGGGCAATAGAGTGAGACCCCTTCTCAAAAAAAAAAAAAAAAAATTCGCCTGATGAAGAAGCAGAGGCTGTTGGAGATGGTTAAAATTGAAGAGTTGGGTGCCAGGTGCAGTGGCTCATATCTATAATCCCAACACTTTGGGAGGGCAAGGTGGGAGGAATGTTTGAATTCAGGAGTTCAAGACCAGCTGAGCAACATGGTGAAACCCTGTCTCTGTAAAAAATGCAAAAATTAGCTGGGTGGTGGTGCTCCCCTATAATCCCAGCTACTTGGGAGTCTGAGGCGTGAGGATCACTTGAGCCCAGGAGGTCGAGGCTGCAGTGAGCTGTGATTGTGCCACTGCACTCCAGCCTTGTAGAGTGAGACCCTGTCTCTATCAATCAATCAATCAACCAAAATAATCTGATTATTTTGATATGGCACAATCTGCCACTGTGCAGAGTGCCTCTCTGCACAGCCACTCTGGTGAGATTAACAGCAAGTGGAAATTAGGTAATTAGAAAAGGACGGTGCAAGGGAGCTGATTACCAAGCTTCAAACGATATTCAAGGCTGAAACCAGTTAGCCAGGCACTTCATTGTAGTGTTTACAAAGGTCTTTGGGGGAAAAAAAAGATCTTTGGAGATTTCGAAATTCTGTTTTAATATTTATGGGTGTGGATTATATTTGATGATTCCTCTATCCATGTGACTTGATATGAACAGGTCAGAAGGATTGGCCCCAAGAGTAGCAAAGCAAAGGATATCACTCTCAAATGATCTACCAGATGTTCTGAAGGAATTCATGGGGCAAACTGAAGAAACATGGCACCCATGGTGGGTAGCAATCTCTGCAAATAACTCTACAGTGGAATAACTTTATTGCAGGCACAGTGCAGACCTACCAGAAGCTTAGTGATGATGTCCTCCCTAGAGCTGTCTTCTTGCAGAGGGCAGATAGTGTGGATGAAGGGCAGGAAGGTGTCTGTGTAGTCAAACAAGTACAGGTAGAGCAGACCCAGCCTGGGGGAGCTCTTGAGGGCATATAGCAGGAACAGGGACCTGCCTGGGTTCACAGCCTGCAGAGGAGGAGAAGAGCACAGGGCCACATTACAACCATGACAGCCAGCTGGCCGCCCACACTCCTTCCCATCTCTTTCCCAAAAAAAAAAAAAAAAAAAAAATTCAATTTATTCGATTCTTAATGCATCAAAATAGCACTTCACAGAAGATAGAAGGATGGCAAATAAGCACGTAAATGCAAATTAAGTAAGAAATGCAAATTAAATCCCCAGTGCTGAGTGGAGATCACTGCATCCCTGTTGTAATCGAGAGGGCTGGGAGGGAGGGCTTAACAGGGGCAGAAGGAAACTTCTGGGAGTGACAGATTTGTTCCCTATCTTGATTGTAGTGATGGTTTCATGGGTGTGCATATGTCAAAACTTATCACATCACACATTTTAAGTAGGTGTATATCAATTTTACCTCAATAAAAACTGTTAAAACATTCAATTTACCTGATGCTATTAATGACTTACTGTTAGATTTTTTAAAAGTGTGATGATTATGGCATTTTAAAAAAAGATTCTTTCTCTTTAGAAATGCATACTACAGGCTGGGTGTTGTGGCTCACGCCTGTAATCCCAGCACTTTGGGAGGCCCTGGTGGATATATCACCTGAGGTCAGGGGTTCAAAACCTGCCTGGCCAACATGGTGAAAGCCTTTGTCTACTAAAAATAAAAAAATCATCCAGGCATGGTGGTGGGTGCCTGTAGTCCCCAGCTATTTGGGAGGCTGAGGCAGGAGAATTGTTTGAACTCAGGAGGCGGAGGTTGCAGTGAGCCAAGATCATACCACTGCACTCCAGCCTGGTAACAGAGTGAGACTCCATTCCAAAAAATAAATAAATAAAGAGATACCTTAGCCTCCCAAGTTCTGGGACTACAGTTGTAGGCCACCACACCCATCTAATATTTGTATTTTTAGTAGAGACAGGCTTTTGCCATGTTGGCCAGGATGGTCTTGATCTCCTGACTTCATGATTCACCCACCTCAGCCTCCCAAAGTGCTGGCATTACAGGCGTGACCCACTGTGCCCAGCTATATCTGAAATATTCTAAAGTGAAAGATCTTAAGAAAAGATCCAACTTGGCCAGGCACGGTGGCTCATGCCTGTAATCCCAGCACTTTGGGAGGCTGAGGTGGGCGGATCATGAGGTTGAGAGATCGAGATCATCCTGGCGAACATGGTGAAACCCTGTCTCTTAAAAAAAAAAAAAAAGAAAGAAAGGAAAAAAAGAAAAGATCCAACTTATGAAATGGCAGATTTCCAAGCCTGGGGTAAGAAAGGTACAGAAGTAACTTGACCATCTTGACACATTTGAAGAGAAACTATCAAACATCGACAAGGCCACATCAAAAGAACTCAGTAAGGCCAGGCATAGTGGCTTACTTACACCTGTCATAAAAGCACCTTTGGGAGGCCAAGGTGGGAGGACTGCTTGAAGCCAAGAGTTTGAGAAAGCCCAGGCAACAAAATAAGACCCAATTTCTATAAAAAAAGAAAGTTGGTCAGGAGTAGTGGTGTGTTCCTGTAATCCCAGCTTTAGAGTGACTGAGATGGATCATTTGAGCCCAAGAGTTTGAGGCTACAGTGAGCTATGATCCAGCCTGGGTGATAGACCCCATCATTTTTCCTTTTTGGTGGAGTTTTGCTCTTGTTACCCAGGATGCAGTCTCTTTCTCACTAGAGAGAGAGAGCTGTTTTCTTTTCTCTTTCTTTTGCCTATTAAACCTCTGCTCAACTTCTTATGTATCTATGTCCTAAATTCTCCTGGTGCCAGACGACAAACCCGTTATTTACCCCAGACAAAGTAATATTGAAGACTGCTTCAATAGCCTGTGCCTGTAGTTTATTTTTATTTTTTTAGAGATTAATGCTGAAATATTTACCTACGAAAAATATAGCTGCTCAATTTTTCAAAATAATCAGGGATGGAAGAAAGTGAGGTATCAATGAAGTAAATGTGACTCTGAGTTGCTTTTGCTAGTAGGGGTAAACGGCAGCTTTTTTGTTGTTTTTTGTTTTTTGTTTTCTGAGATGGAGTCTCGCTCTGTCATCTAGACTGAAGTGCAGTACACTCACTCTTAGCTCACTGCAAACTCTGCCTCCTGGGTTCAAGTGATTCTTGTGCCTCAGCTTTCCTAGCAGCTGGGATTACAGGCATGCACCACCATGCTTGGCTAATTTTTGTATTTTTAGTAGAGATGTTTCACCATGTTGGCCAGGCTAGTCTTGAACTCTGACTGCAGGTGATCTGCCCACCTTGGCCTCCCATAGTGCTGGGATTAAAGGAATGAGCCACTACATCTGGCCAGAGGGCAGTTTTGTAGCATTATCCTGCTTTTGCATATTAGGAATTTTCCATCATAAAAGTTTTTTTATGTTTGTTTGGGATAAAGTTTTGCTGTTGCCCAAGCTGGAGTATAATGGCATCAGCTGAGCTCACTGCAACCTCTGCCTCACAGGTTCAAGCAATCTTTTCTCAGCCTTCCAGGTAGCTGGGCTTACAGGCATCCGTCCCCACGCCTGGCTATTTTTTGTATTTTTAGTAGAGACAGGGTTTTGCCATGTTGGCCAGGCTGGTCTCAAACTCCTGATCTCAGATGATTTACCTGCCTCAGCCTCCCAAAGCGCTGAGATTACAGGCGTGAGCCACTGTCCCCAGCCAGAGTTCGTGTTTTCTGATGAGGAAACCAGATATAGTATTTCCAATAGTTTTTAATAAAGTAAATCCCTATTGTAAAACAACTACCTTTTTTTTTTTTTTTTTTCAAGAGAGTCTCTCTCTGTCATCCAGGCTAGAGTGCAGTAGCACTATCATAACTCACTACAGTCTCAAAGTCCTGTGTTCAAGCAATCCTTCTGCTTCAGCAGCCCAAGTAATTAAAATGACAGGTGCATGCCACCATGCCTGGCTAATTTTTTGTTTTTTTGGAGAGACAGGGTCTCATTGTGTTGCCCAGGCTTGTCTCACCTGGGCTCAAGTAATACTTCTGCCTTAGCCTACCAAAGCAGAGTAATATGTGAGAGGTCAGAGCATATAACTGAAAGTTCAAAGGTGTAGGAACAAAACAGACCGAGGAATGCCTTGGGAAAGTGACCTTATTTTTCTAAGCGAGTTTTTTTTCTTTTTTTTTTTGAGACGGAGTTTCGCTCTTGTTACCCAGGCTGGAGTGCAATGGCGCGATCTCGGCTCACCGCAAACTCCGCCTCCCGAGTTCAGGCAATTCTCCTGCCTCAGCCTCCTGAGTAGCTGGGATTACAGGCACGCGCCACCACACCCAGCTAGTTTTTTGTATTTTTAGTAGAGACAGGGTTTCACCATGTTGACCAGGATGGTCTCGATCTCTTGACCTCGTGATCCACCCGCCTTGGCCTCCCAAAGTGCTGGGATTACAGGCTTGAGCCACCGCACCCAGCCTGTGACCTTATTTTTCTAATCAAGTTTTTTTTTTTTTTTTTTTGAGATGGAGTCTCACTCTGTCACTGTCACCCGGGCTGGAGGCTGGAGTGCAGGGCGAGATTTTAGCTCACTACAACCTCCACCTCCTGGGTTCAAGCAATTCTCCTGCCTCAGCCACCCAAGTAGCTGGGATTACAGGCGTGTGCCACCAAGCCTGGCTAAGTTTTGTACTTTTAGTAGAGATGGTGAAACCCCATCTCTACTAGTTGGCTTGGCTGGTGTTAAACTCCTGACTTCAAGTGATCCACCCACCTCAGCCTCCCAAAGTGTTGGAATTAGGCATGGGCCACTGCACCCGGCCAAAGCGAGTTTTCTGACCTACAAAAGCAGCGTCATGCTACCTACCCTGAAGAACTGTTTTACGAATCAGTGATAACTTATGAAAATATTTACAGATAGTCACTGGTAAATAGTAAGCATCCAATTATTTGTTGCTATTAATGCTGCTGAATGTGAACTGTCTCATCATACCGCAAGCCTAAGGAATTTATGTTGATAAGATGGAACTCTTATCAACATAAATAATTGATCCACCCGCCTCAGCCTCCCAAAGTGCTGGGATTACAGGTGTGAGTCACCATGCCCAGTCAAAGTTTCTTTTCTTTTTTTTTTTTTTTTTTTGAGACAGAGTTTTACTCTTGTTGCCTAGGCTAGAGTGTACTGGCACAATCTCAGCTCACTGCAACCTTAGTCTCAAGGGTTTAAGTGATTCTCCTGCCTCAGCTTGAGTAGCTGGGACTACAGGTGTGTGGCACAACGCCTGGCTAATTTCTAAAAATGTTTTAGTAGAGATGGGCTTTCACTGTGTTAGCCAGGATAGTCACAATCTCTTGACTTTGTGATCCGCTGACTTTAGCCTCCCAAAGTGCTGGGATTACCAGTGTGAGCCACTGTGCCCGGCCAAAGTATTTTTTTTTTTTTAAATCCAACTTTTGAAAGTATCTTAGTATCCTAAATGTGCTATCTAGACATATATGGGAATAGTTCTTTATCTTAAACGTGTTTCCCAACCTTTCTTTCATTATCACCCCCTGAAAAGTCTTTTAAATTTAATTTTATTTTTTGAGACAAGAGTTTTATTCTTTTGCCCAGGCTGGAGTGCAGTGGCATGATCTCAGCTTACTGCAACCTTTGTCTCCCAGGCTCAAGCAATTCTTCTGCCCCAGCCTCCAGAGTAGCTGGGACTAAAAGCACATGCCACCACACCTGTCTAATTTTTGTATTTTTAGTACAGAAGGGGTTTCACCATTTTGGTCAGGCTGGTCTCGAACTCTTGACCTCATGATCTGCCTACGTTGGACCCAAAGTCCTGGGATTACAGGCGTGAGCCACCGCACCCAGCCAAGAAATCATCTTTTAAAGACATTTTTTTCACAAAATCCCCTCCCCTTGAAATATTAATCCACAGGAATACCACCTTGATTATGTTTATGTACTGTGGGTTTTTGGAGGGCCACAGCTATTGTAACAGCTAATACTTTTTCACTCCCCAAGATCCAGGTTTTGCCCCACTGGGGGCAACCCTGCTCTCCTTGGGGTGGCATGCTCTACA